TAATTTTATTATTATTATTATTAGGGATGCACGATATTATCGGCATGGCATTGTATCGGCCGATATTAGCGATAAAGTTAAACATCGGACATGGGCCATTCCATCAAAAAAAAACTCACCGATATTAAAGGCTTCTGTTTTAAGTTAATTTGAGAAACTATCAAATATATCTATTAATGCACTACTACTTACCAGTGAGTTTATATTTATGAAAATTTACAAATTTGCACTGTTCGAGTGTTGTCACTGTGTTCGAGTAAATGTCATGAATACATTTGACATTAAACATAATCCAGTTTGAAGCGTTGCATCATTTTCAGCCCCCTTTTTGGCATCTGCATTTGGTAGCAGGCCAAACTGACAAAGACCATGCAGAATAATGTAGTATTTTAATTCCACAGCAGAGAAAGCGATGTAGTCGCTGTAAGTTGGTCTAGGGAAAAAATATCGGTATTGGTATCGGTTATCGGCTAAATAGGTTTTAACATATCGGCATATTGGATATTGGCCAAAAATCCAATATCGTGCATCCCTAATTATTATTGCTGCAATTTATTCATTTTTGCATCTTTAATTTCCTGTAGAAGCTTTAAGAGTTTGAATATAAATTTAGTTTGAGGTCAGAAACGTTGCTCCATGCCTCCTGATTTTTTTGTTTTTCTACTCCTACCAGTTGAAATCCACCCACATGCAGACTCTTTCTTGAAGCTGCAGTAATTTTGTTTTTAAACCGAATGATTTTAATCCTGACCATAAACATGCACAAGATTTATAAAGCATATCTGAAGTCTTTCATTTTATTGGTTATTGGTATAAAATACTGCAGTTTTCTGTTTGTTTTATTTCATTTTTACCTGGCTCCAAATCTAGAATGAATTAAAAAATGCTTCAACCCTTTCAAGAGCTAATGTGTCTTAACCCTCATGCTCAGATGCTGCATGGTCAGTTTGTCATGTCCAGGAACTCAAAAAAACAAACAAAAAACAAACAAACTGTGATTTATTTTCCCCGGACAATAGCACCATCCGAGGCCATTCTAATGTAAATTGTCATAGTCGATCATTGACTATGAAAAAGACAAACTTGTTTTAAAGCGTTAGACTTCCTTCCTATTCACATTTTTATTAACATTAACTTGAGTCAACAGAATGGAAACTAAACTGCTCAAACACCTGATCATCATCGGTGCTCATCTTAAAGCTCTTTTCAGACCATCTTATTCTTATTAGGATGAAATGTTTGCCATTTTATTTTTTTATTATCGTGTTCTACGCCGATGAAATAATTGTGAAGTCCAGCTCCTCGTTTTGATCTAATGATAAAATGTTTACATCTTTAGCACAATGTGCCAAAGTTCCTTCCTGTTTCCTGTGTGAGGAATACTGAGAAGAAGTAAAGGCCTGTGGAGAATCCGCCTCGAGTTTGAGGATTTGTTGCAGAATGTCGTGCATCTTGTTTTGTTTTTTTTAGCTTCAGTTTTTTTGTGTGTAGGAAACGGTTCTTAGCTGTTGATCTACTGTTAGCAGTTTAATAGGAAGTACCTGTAGGTTAAAACTATTTTTCTTTATGAATGTTACATTTGTGGTAGAGGGCAAAAATTATTTCCCCTTCATTTCAGGAGACTGGAAATGCTTAGAAAACCATTCAAACATAGGAAGAGTGTTAAAAATCTCACATTCAGGCAGTTTTACTAGAAGTTAAAGCTGCTTTTGCATTAAGTCAGATTTTTACTTGTCTGTGTCTTTTTAAAGGAAATGATCACCATTTTTGTTTTAAATGAAGTTCAACAAAAAATGGTTGTTTTTCAGTATTTCTTTTAGTCCTGGTTTAGTCGTGATTTTTTTCTTTCCCTCTCAGAAGCCCTTCTGTGATACGTGCAAATCCCTGCGAAGACATCCAGCTTCAGCTTTTGTGTTGAACCAACACAAACGGTGACAACATGCACATAAAAGGTTCATTTTCTATTTAAATCTTATTCCATAAATTAGACGGGACGTGAACTAACGCAGTCTGCGGCGAATATATTTTGAAGTGTTGTAATGGGTGACATGACTCCGAGGGTCACATGTAAAAGTGTATATTTTTGTATATACCTACATCAGTGTGTGTGTGTGTACAGTATGTACATAAATGCACAGTGTACTCAACTGTGGTTCCTAGTTTTGTTGTCGGACTGTACAGCGCTTCTAACTGTTCCCTGTTTTATAGATTCTGCAGACATTCATCTTTGAATGAGGAGAAATTAACTTAAATAAAAAGCATTTATATAAAAGTAAAATGGTGTGGTGTGTTTTAGTTTAACACAGTGGGTGCCCTCATATATACAATATATTGATGTTTCAGTGTTTATAAAACGACATGTTACTGGTTTGAATTGAAGTGAATTAAAGTGGTTCCTATTAAATGTACAGTATAGGAGATAAGCATGAATTTTGCATATATTATGATTAAATGATTTAATAGGAAACGTTGTCCAGCTGTCAGTCAAATTTAGATCTTAAAATTCATAAACTTGCAGCCTGACATCCGTCAGCTCCCAGATGTCCTCATCCTTGGATTTTAAATTATCATATACTTTTATCCTTTTAATTATTATTACTTACTGTGGCCCTTAAAACAATTTATTGCCTCATTTTACTGCAATTATTATTATTATTTTTTGCACATCCAGATGTGTAATTACTGGATTACAGTATTTGATTTCTATGTCAAAACTAATAAACGATCTGCCACACTCGTGAAATAAAGATATTAGCTGAGGAAATGTATGCACTTTATATGGGCTTCATAATATATTAAATTGTGTGCAAGCTTTTGGCTCTACCAACCAGGAATCGGAAGCTCATCAAGTCTGCTTTTGAATTTTATTTTGTTTGTCCACAAATTAGAAAGCTGACATATGCAACCTGAGTATTGATCCACCAAATACCTTGTGACTTGAGACTAGCATTTTGAGTGCTTAAAAAAAGATTGTTGGAGGGTAATAACTTATGCTCAATAGGTATTCAGTTTTTTTTTTTAAACTGATTTAGACTTGGGCATCTTTTAAAATGTGGACATAGGTTAACAAATAAAGTGAAAAACAAACAAAAAAAAAAAACTAACAAGGCTTCCCAAAATGTTCTTTTGATATAAAAAGGGCATCATTTTGATTTTATTTTCTTACCATCCTCCCACAAAGGTTGAACTTTTTTGTGTTTAGTCCTGCCATTTATATAACAATAAAAACAACATTATAATAATTATTATTTTTATTATTATTATATAAGAATATATATATAATGATATATATATGATAATATATATAATATATATAATTTATTATTATTTTTATATTTTTACATTATAATTGTTTTTTTGAATGTCCAGAGGACCAGATTTAACTTTTTAAGATTTTTCTACCTGGATTATTGAGCATGCATCAGGATATTATAATAATGCTTGTTCTACAGTAAATTTGAATACAGTTTTAACATACATTTGCACATTGAATAAACAAAATAGTATTTAAAGTTAAGTTAATTTTGTACACCTTTCAAAAAATGTAATATCTATATATATATATATATATATATATATATATATATATATATATATATATATATATAAACATTTTTTTATATTTTTTGTGTTGTTGCATCACTTAAAAAGCATTCAGCTTGGGGTTAATGTTTCTGATTGTATTTCAGATAATTTTCAAAAACATTTGTGAGCCTTTTTGGGCTTTGGATATCAGATTAGCCTCGAGGTTTTTTTGTTTGTTTGTTTGTTTGTTTGGGGGGGTTAACATAAACATAAATTTCAACTAAATTAAAGTCTAGTATGTCAAAGTGACAAGTATACTGCACATGTATTTGGGCTCTTCCTGTGCTGCAGCAGTTTTCAGTGTAGTACCGCGTCTCTCCGGCAGGGGGCGGCAGCAGAAACTGCGCACACTAACCGGACCGACGAGGAAGGAAGGACTTCAGACAGAAGCCGATTATTAGCGCACTCGGCAGGCGGTGTGTCTGCTTGGAAAGGAACAAATCATGAAGAACGAAGGTATAGAGGGAATGGAGCGGTTCGAGAGCCCAGATAAAGGCAGGGGCCTGCTGGCCGTGGGTCATTTCGCGGTCGGGGAGCTGGTGTTCGCCTGTCCTGCTTACTCCTACGTGCTGACGGTGAACGAGAGAGGAGCTCACTGTGAGCACTGCTTCACCAGGTAACCTGCACCTCTCAGGAACAGCAGGAAGACGACCATGTAACAGCTGGTATATTAGTATTTTGTGTTGCTAACTTGTCCTGTTGAACCAAATGGGTCAGAGAGGTAACTCAGCTCTTTCCTGTCTAACATGAGTGATCTCTGAATTAGGCTAATAATGCTGCTTCAGGTAGTATCCTGAATCTAGAGGTATCTTCAAATTAAAATACTTGTAAGTACCTTAACTTAAGTTAATATGACATTTTTAAAATGCCGCAAGTTCCTCTTGAGCAGACACAGACGAGCATCAGTCAACATGTTGAATGTGGAGTTTAGCCTATGGGCTGTGCAGAAACAAGAGTCTTAAAGAAAAGGGTGCATTCATTGATTAAATGAGTCTAAAGCTGAATCCTCTGAATGTAATGTAATACATCACGGCAGACTTTATGGTTGATTCAATTCAACATATTCTAACGAGCACACTTTCATACACTCGCATGTCCCACCCAGGCTGCCGTCAGGACACCAAAAGGTTAGTGGTGCTAAATTTAGATGTCCATGTATCTATCCCAAGAGAGGAGAAAGCAGGGGTGCATGCTTGTGTTTGGGAAGAGCTGTTTATTTTGTTATATTTTACACACCAGAATAGATACAGGTGCTGGTCATAAAATTAGAATATCATGAAAAGTTGATTTATTTCAGTAATTCCATTCAAAAAGTGAAACTTGTATGTTATTCATTCATTCATTACACACAGACTGATATATTTCAAATGCTTATTTCTTTTAATGTTGATGATTATAACTGACAACTAATGAAACCCCCAAATTCATTATCTCAGAAGATTATAATATTGTGAAAAGGTTAAATATTCAAGAGGGGCCACACTAATCGGCTAATTAACTCAAAACACTTGCAAAGGCCTTCAAATGGTCTCTCAGTCTAGTTCTGTAGGCTACACAATCATGGGGCAGACTGCTGACTTGACAGTTGTCCAAAAAACAACCACTGACACTTTGCACAAGGAGGGCAAGACACAAAAGGTCATTGCTAAAGAAGCTGGTTGTTCACAGAGCTCTGTGTCCAAGCACATTAATAGAGAGGTGAAGGGAAGGAAACGATCTGGTAGAAAAAAGTGTACAAGCAATAGAGATAATTGCACCCTGGAGTGGATGGTGAAACAAAATCCATTCCAAAATGTGGGGGAAATTCACAAAAAGTGGGCTGCAGCTGGAAACAGTGCTTCAAGAACCACCACGCACAGACATATGCAAGACATGGGTTTCAGCTGTCGCATTCCTTGTGTCAAGCCACTCTTGAACAAGAGACGGCGTCAGAAGCATCTCTCCTTGGACTGGTGCAGAGTGGTCCAAAGTTATGTTCTATGATGAAAGTAAATTGTGCATTTCCTTTGGAAATCCAAGGTCCCAGACTCTGGAGGAAGAGAGGAGAGGCACAGAATCCACGTTGCTTGAGGTCCAATGTCAAGTTTCCACAATCGGTGATGGTTTGGGATGCCATGTCATCTGCTGGTGTTGGTCCACTGTGTTTTCTGAGGTCCAAGGTCAACGCAACCATCTACCAGGAAGTTTTAGAGGACTTCATGCTTCCTGCTGCTGACCAACTGAGATCTGAGATGCAGATTTCATTTTTTCAACAGGACTTGGCACCTGCACACAGTGCCAAAGTTACCAGTACCTGGTTGAGGGACCTGCTTTTAATTGGTCAGCAAACTCACCTGACCTTAACCCCATAGAAAATCTATGGTGGTATTATGAAGAGGAAGATGTGATACGCCAGACCCAACAATTCAGAAGAGCTGAAGGCCACTATCAGAGCAACCTGGGCTCTCATAACACCTGAGCAGTGCCACAGACTGATCGACTCCATGCCACACCGCATTGCTGCAGTAATCCAGGCAAAAGGAGCAACAACTAAGTACTGAGTGCTGTACATGCTCATACTTTTCATGTTCATACTTTTCAGTTGGCCAACATTTCTAAAAATCCTTTTTTGTTATTGGTCTTATGTAATATTCTAATTTTCTGAGATACTGAATTTAGGGTTTTCAGTAGTTGTCAGTTAATCATCAACATTAAAATAGACATTTGAAATGTATCAGTCTTTGTGTAATGAATGAATATAATATACAAGTTTCACTTTTTGAATGGAATTACTGAAATAAATAAACTTTTTCATGATATTCTAATTTTATGACCAGCACCTGTATGTATGTGTATGTATATGTGTGTGTATATATATATATATATATATATATATATATATATATATATATAATTTGCACATAGGTCATATTATAAGGATCCATCCACCTCCTTCTCTGTTATTTGCTTTACCAACTATTTTAAGTGATGTGGGGAATATATTGTATTGGTATTCTGTACAGTAGTTTAATTCAACGTTTCACTGACAGGTGAAAGTGTCTTCTAGGTTGAGGTTTAGTGAAGGAATATGTTTTCTGTTTATCACCTCATTTCAGGAAAGAAGATCTGTTCAAATGTGGTAAATGTAAGCAGGCCCACTACTGCAATGTTGACTGTCAGGTAAGGGTGTGTTCAGGTGTGTGTCTGGAAACTGTCAATGAACGAATTTAAGTTGGAACGTTAAGTCCTACACAGTTTTAAACTATTATTGGGAGTTCTGCAGGGAATGTCCAAGTTAACACTTTTTTATTATTATTTTATCTCTTAGCTGGGGATTGATTTATTTTTTATTATAAGATGATTTTTTTTTATCTCTGTTGTCACTACAGAATAATTCTGTGGTTATGTGGTTTAACTTGGTGTACTGGACCACATTCGGACGTTATCTAAAGACAGAGCAGTTTTGTTGCTGTTGCTATGACGATTACCGGTAGTTCTGTCCTCCCTTGGGCTCCGTCTAGTTTTAGAGTTGAAATACAAAAAAATAAAATACTGCAATGAGATACAGATGAATAGAAAGCTCATTCTTTATTTATTTAGTGTTTTTATTTATTTATTTTTAACTAGATTTTTTTCCTACAGAAACCAGTTTTCTATTATCATATGAAAATAAATGTTTATTTCTTTATTTCTATGGTGCTTTTTCAAAACATATATTTTTTCTTTGTGAAGAGAGGCGACTGGCCAATGCACAAGTTGGAGTGTGTAGCCATGAGTGTGCACGGGGAGAACTGGTGTCCATCAGAGACGGTCAGACTGGTGGCCAGAACCATCATGAAACAGGTAAAAATAATAAAAATAAAAGAAGCAGAGTGGATGTTTTCCTTTGCATCGAAACATCAGATCTGTGCAGGAGAGCACGAACAGCCAAAGATCAAACTAATACATTTACACTAAAAATGTAGAGTAAAATAGATTTGAAGTGAAGTTTAGAATTTTACTTTTGGTTATTACACAGATGTCTTCTGCATGTAAATTTATTTAACATGAAAATCTTTTCTAGTTTCTTTACTGTGGCTCGGATTAAATTAGAACTGGCAATCAGTTCTGTAAAAAATAAAAATATAATTGTTAATAACACATTTAATGCTATATCCTTATAATAACTTTCCCTGACCAATAAATCATTTAAACTGACTATACACAAGTCCTCAATAGCAATAGTAATTTTATTTTATAATTTTAATGTTTCTGAATTTGTGCTGTTTTAAAATCCAGTTTTGGATAATAATTGTATTGGCTCCAAAAGTTTCTTTTAACAAAAGCTCCTGTTTGAACTTTAGTGGAGCAACAAAACAGTGCTACTTTTTTACATGACATGCCTTTATTATTATTTTTTAATAAACGCTCCCTCGTGCACCATTTGTCTGTGTTGCAGAGAGTTACAACAGAGCGCACTCCCTCTGAACGGCTGCTGCTGCTCAAAGAGTTTGAATCCCGTAAGTCGATTTGTGATATTAATACACGATCATTTAGTTACATATTCATGAACTTTTAGTTACAGAGTGTGCACTTCTGTGTGGGATCTTGCCGTGTCTCTGCAGTTTTAGCAGCGCGTCTATTAATATTCTCTGCTGTAGCCTGCAGTCCTGATTCCGTCTCTTTCATTCAATCCAAGAGTGCAGAGCTCTGGGACTTAATCCCAAGCTTCTGGGTGCTGTAATTTTATGCTCTCCCACCTCTTTTAACAACTGACACCCTTGAGCAAGGTGCTCAGCACCTCAGACTCGGATTTATTCAGACACAGTTCGGAGCGTTTATACTATTGTAGCTCAGATTTACAAAAAATAGATGCTGAACTCTGTGGAGCTCTTTTTTATTTGATTGATTTTTTTGTTTTCTTTACTCGTTTCATCTGAGTTACTTTATCTAGCAATGTGACAAAAAATAATAATAGTGAAATATTTATTTTTTTAGAAACGTAGTATTGACAAGAAAATGTTTATAAAAATTGATTAATTTCATAATTAAACTTTTATTATACTTATTAGGCACTATTTTGACGAGCAAGGCGCATGTAGATGCAGTGGAGGCAGCAGGTGGGGCGGAGTGCCACCTAAGAAATTAATTCGCCCCACAAAGTAGTTCCTCCTCATAAATAATGTAAATTACTTATTTCCTAAGCTTGCTGTGTATTGTTTTTTTTTGTGTGTGTGTATTTTTCAACAACTTTTACTATTTAAAATGGAATTTAAAATTATTTTTAAAATGTATTACCGGTATCAGTTTTTTACTTATTTACTGTTATGGGACGATACCGTTCAGCGACCTGTGTTCATCAAGCGAATCAGAACATGTCCAGTGATTTGAACAGCCAGCTCCAATGAAAGTTCATATGGGTCATCAAGATTTTCTGCCCTGTGGGCACATTTGGCTGGTTTTAGTGCATTAATACAACCACTGACACTTTGACGTGAGCCCAGACAGCGGAGGCCTGAACAGAAAACTGAGGAGGGCAGAGGAAAGACAAAAACCAGGTCGCCAACATGCAAGGATCTTATTTAACCAGTTGTGTGTTGAGTGTGTGTGGCTATGATGGGTCAATAGTCAAATCACTGTCCTGTAATCAGAAGGCTGGGTTCAATCCCTGCTTGGAACATTTATTTTAATTGATGATTTATTCCACCATATTTTTTTTTCACGTTTTTTATATATATTTTTTTTAGTAAAAGTGAAATGAACGTTTACACATCCAAACAATTTAGAGTGTGACTGTCAGTTAAATATGAAGCAACATAAATCCTATTATTCAGTAAATTAATGTCCGCCCCACTAATATTTTTGCTCAGCAGCCGCCACTGTATAAATGTCAGACACAGACATCATTTTAGTCTCTTAACTCTCAACCTGTTTCCTGTTTTTGTCTTTGTTGTCCTCTTTTTGTGTCTTTTCTTGTTGTTATCTGACAGACTTGGATAAGATGGACAATGAGAAGCAGGAGATGAACCAAGCAGACATAACATCTCTGCGTTATTTCTACTCCAAGCACATCAGTAACCTCCCTGATGACCAGGCTCTAACTGAGCTTTTTGCACAGGTACAAAACAAATTGACACTTAGGAAACTATTTGGATTTGTTATTTTTGTTGTTGTTTTTATGATCTCAGGCTGGTTGATCATTTTTACTCTTTAGTGTCAGAGCTGCTTTTTGTGTTTTACTCTGAATCAAAACATTGTTTCATTAAATCAACCTCATCGTGTTGAAGACTCTAAACTCAAAACAAGAACAGATAGCAGTTTTACCTTTCCTTATTCCCAGAAGTGTTATAATACCTTCACTTATGTCTGTTCACATGTTTCTGCTCATCCTCACCTCCTGTTTGTCTGCAGGTCAACTGTAACGGTTTTACCATCGAGGACGAGGAGCTCTCCCATCTGGGATCAGCTGTTTTTCCTGAGTGAGTTTCTGCCACATCATCACAGTGAAATGATTATAAATTTTAGACATTTTACATTTACATTACATTACATTTACATAGTTCACAGAAGAGGACAGTAAGCACTAAAGAAAAATAATCCAGCAGTAGCCTGATGCATGCTCAATAATCCAGGTAGAAAAACCCAAAAAAGTTCGGTCTGGTCCTCTGGACATTCAAAAAAACAAAACAAAGCAAAAAAAAATGTAGAAACGTTTCGTCTCTCATCCAAGAGACTTCCTCAGTCTGAGGTGCTGTTTTCAGCTCAGTCTCTTAAATAGCACCTTCTCAGAGTGGATCAACCAGTTTGCTGCTGACAACCAAAACCAGCTGATCACATGCTCAAGAAGGACCATCAGCCTAACAATGGGTCATTAGCACACTGATGGCTGTTTACTATTCACAGAGGGCTGAGTGATACTAGCAATCACAGCATTGTAAGAGGGGGACAGTTGAACCCGGAGGCCTCCACCCCTGTTTAATGATGGACGATTTCTTTTCACAAAGATGGCCTCCTTTACTCCTCTCTCAAACCATCGTTCCTCTCTGTCCAGGATGTGAACATCTTCATCCTTGAAAGAGTGACCGCTGGCCTGGAGATGAGTGTAGACCGCAGAGTCCTGGCCTGATGATGTTGATCTTCTTGCTGGGCCATCCTTTTGGCCAGCAGTATCCAGCAGTAGCTCTTTCTCAAAATTATTTTGATTCTGTTGGCTCCATCAAATGATTCTAATCTTATAATCATGTTTTATATTCAGTGAAGCATAAACCAATCAGAAGTTAAAGGTAGATAGGTGTTTGGATTGTGGGTTCAGTTTTCTTGTTGTGCCCAAAACACCCTCCTCTAATCGATAGACAGACAGACATAGAAATTTATTTGCCTTTTCTTGTCTCCTCTTTCCAGTGTAGCCCTGATGAACCACAGCTGTAGTCCAAATGTTATTGTAACCTACAAAGGCACGGTGGCTGAAGTCAGAGCTGTTCAAGAAATAAACCCAGGGGAGGAGGTGATATTTTAAATCAAGTGCTGCTAAAGAAATGTAAATCTCCAGTCGTCTTATGTGTTCTGCCTGTGTTTGTAGATCTTTAACAGCTACATAGACCTGCTGTATCCTACAGAGGACAGGAGAGAGAGGTTACTGGATTCCTACTTCTTCTCCTGCCAGTGCACTGAGTGCACCTCCAGGTCTAAGGTACGAGTCGACTTACCTCCAGAGTCTTTCTGTTTTCTTTTAAAGAGATTCATGCTTGAGCAGGTGGGGTGTGGAGAATCAGTTTACAGACTGTTTAAAGTTTCAGAGACCCTGTAATGGGTTTAGGTCCTGATTTTGCAGAGTCACCTGGACTTTCACTGAGTTTTTGTTTATTTCTAAGACTACTGTATTTTTCTCTGTACACGTTGCACCGCCGTATAAGTTGCATCAGTCTAAATATGTCTAATAAAGTGGAAAAAACATAAATGCGTTGCTTCACTGAATACGTCACATCTATTATGCGTCACCGCGTTTATGTGTCACTGCTGACCACCCAGAAACGTGGGTCGGTGTTCTGCCAGAAATCGATTGGCTGCCAAATGGCATGCATGGGAGGACTTTAACAAGAATTTAACAAGGCTAACACTTAAAAAGAATTATTTGTTTGCTCGAAATTATAGTAAAGGTGTGTCTCAGTTGAACTTTCCTTAATAAATGCACTTTAATGGTCAAATCAGCTGCATTTCACCTGGGCAGCTCAGCAAAATGCAGCTGATTTGACGTTTGCTTCAGGAGTTTCAGAGCGAGATGAAGGTGGCTCTGTATGGCAAGCCAAATGTCTCATTAATAGCCACTTTTACCTATTTATGAGACATTAGGCTTGCTATATTAGTCAAGGGCCCTCTAGTGGCTGAAAATGGTAGTGTTCAATGTTTTCCATGTCAGAATGAATGAAATTGTCAGATTTCAGCCAAACATTGGCTTATAAATATGGGAAAAAACATGAATATGTTGCTTTGCTGTATAAGTCGCAGGCATGCTAATTTATGCAAAAAAATTGCGACTCATACGCTGGAAATACGGTAGTGCCGTTTAATTTGTGTACTTCCGGTTGAAATGTAAACCTCCTTGATCTGAGATTTGTAAAGGAGGAGTTTTGTTGTTTTTTCTCTACATTCGGCTGCTCTGACAACACAGATGCATCAGTCACTGTGTTGGGAAAATAGGGCGTTAATGGTGTTAATCATAACTGTGGCTTTAATGGTTTATTTTCTGTTGGACTCCTGGCAAGGACCAATGCAGACATGTTCCTGTTTTTAGTTTTCTACATTTGCCTTATAATCTAGCTGTTTTTTGTTATTTTTTTTGCCATTTTATTTGTAAAAAAAAAAATAATAAAAAAAAATCATCTAATTTAGGTGATTTTTCAGGATGCACCTAGAGCACACAAAGGACTTGCACAGTAAAGCTGTTGAAATATTTGCTACCAAAGTCCCCTGGCTAAAAATTCTTCAATAAAACATCCAGTTAAGATTAATCCACCTTTTAATGTAAGCATGCATTTCTTTTTATTTTTGTTCCATCTTTGTAGGACAAGGCAAAAATGGAGACTAGGAAACTGAGCACCCCTCCAGAACCAGAAGAAGTCATCTCCATGGTTTGTTATGCCAAGAATGTCATTGAAGAGTTCAGAAGAGCCAAACACTACAAGAATATCCTCTTGGTTGTCACATATCTTTGTTTCTGTTTTTATTGTTGGCAAACAGAGACTTTCCTGCCTGTTCGTCTTTTGCTGTGTTTTCTGTGTCGTTCCTTGACTCTCTGCACCTCCCAGTGAGCTGCTGGAAATGTGTGAGCTCAGCCTGGAGAAGATGGGAGCTATTTTTGTAGACACCAACGTCTATATGCTGCACATGATGTATCAGGCCATGGGCGTCTGTCTCTACATGCAGGACTGGGACGGCGCTATGAGCTACGGGGAGAAGATTGTCCAACCCTACAGGTAAAAAGTGTCATGCTCACAACTTTATTTAATATTTATTTATTAAACTGAAGCTGATTTGTAAGCCTGAGTATAATCCATCTCACTCTCTCACTTAAAATCACTCCAGATTCAGGTGTTTTTGCTCAAGTTTAAAGGTACAAACAGCTGCACCAAAGTCATAAATCACCGTTCGGTTCTTCAAATTTTGCTCCAAAGGAACCAAACCTAACCCTTTAAAGTACACTTGATCAGTTTTTCTAAAGGGTTTCTGAAAATCTGTTGGTTTTTCTCTGGTGTTTTGACAGATTTTTCACTCCAATGCTGGACTGTTTTCAGATGAGTGTTCTTGCTGTTTAAGCCACTTCACTTTAAGTTTACTCAGATATAAAGATGCTCTTTAACTCCAGGGACAAACCAGTGTTGGGTTGACTTTTAACAGACAACTTAACAAAAATTTAAAAATACCGTAATTTCTGGATTATAAACCGCTACTTTAGTCACACGGTTTGAACACCACGGCTTATACGATGCTGCGGGTAATTTATGGATTTTTTTTTTGAAGGGCTAACAAGCTTCATGCCACATTTAGTCTCGTCACACCCGGACACTCGCATAGCTGCCCAATACACATCTCTCCTGGGGGGTGGGTCCTCGTGACTCAATGAGACTACCTGTATAAATAAATGTAAAAAATAAAATCTGACCCCTGAAATTACCGAACAGGTCACAGTGGGGAAAGGGGGAAACTTTGTTTCTTTGTGAAGATAGCGATCACTGACTTCCTGATAGGCTACTCTATTTTTATAGGCTTTGTTCAGAAAAAACATTTACTGTACGTATTTGTGTATGTTACTGGTACTTAATAAATTAAAAGTTAAAAAAAAGTCTTTCAGTGTAAATATCTCATATTACAACATGCGACCTATATATGTACAAATTATTATTTTTAATTTAGTGGGCACGGCTTATATTTGGGTGCGGAAATTACAGTACTTTGAATCTGTAGACACTTTGATACCACCCTATCACAAAGACGCATGGAATTCGCCACATAAATAATATTTAAGCACCAAGCAGGTGAATATTGAAGATCTAGAGACTATCAGCTGAAGGTTAGTGCATCTCTCAGGTCCCTGTTTCCTAAAGACACGACGTTTAGCTTTCAGACACTGTTCTTCTGCTGCAGATGTGTTTTTTTAGGCCCGAGACGACTTCTTTTTTCTTCCACTTGTCCATTTTCCTCATATTTTTAGGCACATTATGCTGTCATGGTCCGGTTCAGGGCTTGGACTGAAAGAGTGAATAACTGTTCTCTCCCTACAGTGTTCATTATCCTGCCTACTCTCTGAACGTGGCCTCCATGTATCTGAAACTGGGTCGTCTGTATTTGGGCCTCGAGAAAAAGACTCAAGGCGTCAAAGCTTTAAAGAAGGTGCAGTATTTCTAGACTTTTTGTTCAGTGGAGATGAAACACAATAAAGACTTAAAAGAAAGCAAGAATGTAGAGAAGGTTTACCGGCATTAAGGTTAGCTGTAAACAGCAACTCATCATTTTATCTGAATTCTTGCATCTTTGTGCTCACATTTTTACTCCTGACATTATTTAAGTTTAGAGTCTTAATCTTCGGTACTTTGTTTGTTTGGACCATTTGCTTCTTAACAACCTTGTCTCCTCTTCTGTGTTCAGGCTTTAAGGATCATGGAGGTGGCTCATGGAAAAGACCATCATTACGTAGCAGAGGTCAAACGAGAAATTATGGAGCAGAAGTGAAGGATTAACTGTTCCAAGGAGTAAAAAGATTTTAACCAAGGTTCTGGAAGGAAAAATCTATTTTCAGAAGCATTAAATTATACATCATAAATGCGTGGAAATGGAATTATGATGCATAAATGCATCATATACCTCAACTTGTTTTGAAAAAAGGAAAAAAAAAAAAAACATTTTTGAGTTTCTCCAATTTTTTTTTTTTCCTGGACTGCAAAGTTTCTTCAGATGCATGTTGGATGAAAATGAGCACTTTTTATATCTGTGACTGACTTCCTCTAGACAAAACTGGACTTTAAAGTCATGGCTGACATCATTTGAGTTAAAATGCATCTGAATAATTTTCCCGTGCTTTTGAACTTCATTTGAGAATCCTGACTTTCTTGTTCTGGAGCTCATAGCAACAGTGCAAGTGGACAAAAACATCTAAAAATGTTCTGACGCTGCCTCTGAAGCAGCCTTTGGAAGAAACGAAGCTGTCCTCTGATAGCTGGATTCTCTAAAGTCAAAATTTTGGCTCTTCTGTCCCACCCTACTGGCTACAATTTGAGCTGTGCATTGTTGCTCAAGAACAGTTTCTTATGATTAAAACAATCTATACAAACTTTAGAATACTGGTTTCTGAGGGCACTCCCACTCTGTCCCAGCTCCCGTTTGAATCCTGTCAAATATTTAGCAACAAAGCAGCATTAATAGTCTTATTTGTTCCCAATAAAACTGTGAAAGAATAAATAAATAACACGACTTACAATGTTTTTGACACTCTGTAGCAGCAGAGAAGAGAATGCAGAAATCTATTTGTGAGTGAATAACTTAAGTTTTTCTGTTTTTACTTCCAGACGTGTTGCACGTTCATTGCTTTTTTTGCATCTTTTTTGTTTTCTGCCTCTCTTTTTCTTAAGGTAACTCAAGTCTGTGGAATAAATCTTGGCTGTGCAGGTCTTTCTGTGTGACGTTTGCATGTTCTGTATGTGCACACTTGGGTTTTATCCAGTGACAGTACTCCGGTTTCCTCCAAAAACATGCATGCTAGGTTAATTACAGATTCTTAATTGGCTGAAGGAGTAAGTTTGTTTTAGCCGTGCATGTCTGTGTTGACGCTGCCACGAACTTTTATAAAAGGTCAAATTAAACAGGAAATGAGCGAATGACAGTTGATCGATCGAGCTGACGGCTGATTTGACCTGGAGCAAACTTCTTTATCTGTTCACAGCTGCTGATCTGAGAGCAGTTTGAAGTTTAACCGAAGACACTGGTGCTATGACTTGAGAGCTTGTTTGGTTTCTAATAAAAATAGCATCCATGTAGCTGTTGTTGCCTTCGTCAAGAGATGCACCGCCGTATGTTTCTGGTGTTTCCTGCGAGTGCGAATGCTGACGTTTATAACGGCATGAAGTCAACACAACTGTTGACAACATATGTACAGCCTTTTTGTTAATACGGGAATGAAATCAAAAATAATGGACTTGAATCTTGATTTAATTTCTGCTGTTGAACGGTTTCAGGTTTTTAACAGTAAAAATGTATATAAATCTTATTGCATTCGTCAAATTTTTTCCAAACGTTTCAGTTTCTAAGGAAACTTGTTCAATAGAAATAATGTAAAATATGACCAGTGTTGATGTGAACACGTCCTCTTAAGAGCTAAGTGGCTCATCATACAAAGTTACATATTTAAAGTAGCTACAGCTCACTTCATTCCTGGGAACAGTCACAGGTTATTAAACTGGTTTGTGTTTTGATGTAATTAAACCACCATGCAACACTGAGCAACTGGTTGTAATTCATGGTGTGCAATGGAAGCTTTAAAATAATGCATCATCACCTAAGCCTTATTTAAGGGTTCTTGTTGCACTTGTTTTTTGTCTATTTGGTGTGGAAAAAATGATGTCAAATGATAAACTGTTACACATTTTGGTTTAAACAGTCTGTAAATTGTTAGTTTGCTTCACTTTTCACTGCCAGGGAAACTTTTTCAACACCTGTAGCTTCTCTGTCTTGTTTTCAATCATACAAGTTCAATGCACTACATAAAGATGGCCCACAGTTTGATGACAATTACGATGAACATTCTTGAGTTGTATTTGTAGCAACTACCACAGATGTGAATGACTGAATGCATCTCGATGGTGCCTGCCTTACAGCGTTATCGTGGTTACTGTTTTATCAATTCTGTTGTTTGTGATTTTTCTAGTTTACTTTTTAAAAAGATGCATCCAAAAGAGTTTGCATAAGTCTGACCAGATTTTGTCAAAGCTTTAATTTTACTGGTCAAATAAGAAATTAAACACAATACTTTTAAAACCAAAAAAGAAAACCAGTTATGCCATGTAAAGCATAAACTTTTTTTTATTATTTTTTTTATCTGCCCTGCATGGTAAACCAGGCAAACAGAAAGTTCAATTACTTGGTTTTCTGTTACTGCTATGATAAATTACCAAGCATGAATGTTATGTAACTGGAATGATTTGGGAAAAAAATCTGAACCATTTTTTCTGGGACATTTCTGTGGAACCTAATAAAAATATCCATAATGAAATTTAATTTACTGTGTGCTCTAATTCTTGATCATCAAACACAAATGTTTTGCTGCATCCATATGTTCAGGTGTTTCATTTATATATTTCTTTGTTTCAGCACCATAGCAAGACGACTTGTTCATGTTCATGAAATCGTTTGTTTTAGATAATTTCTAATAAAACACAACAACCCTTTATTTGTGACAATTTGCATTGGCAGCGGCAAAAGGGATGGAGTGGAAAAAAAATGTACAAATTAAGCACACAAAACCATAAATACTTTCAAACGTTAGTTTTTATATTATTATTTTGATAACAAAAATAATCTGTATAAAAAGTAAAGTGATTGTGGAGTTTGTTGAACGTGTCCTTCTTATTGATGCATTATCAAATTCCGCCGAACGGTGGCGCCAGTGTTCTCTGCTCTGGTTGGCAAGGCAGAAGAAGAATGATGACCAATCAGGAGCGTTGTATTGGTTACGTCATTTAAATCCTCCTTTCAGCTGAGCGAATCACCGTTCACCGTTGGAGTTTGAATTTTCAGAAGAGGTTAACCCAAACAGTCGAGTGTAGGAAAATCTTCGCGCCCACGAGTAAGTTAAATGTGCATTTTAATTCTCATTAAATCACTTCTGTACTTATTCTTGGGATTTCTGTCGTTTCCTAGTGCCGTTTGTAATCTTTAGCTTCTGAATGAGTTTAGTTAAAAAAAAACCTTAGATCGATGATCGATCACACGATAACAACAAAAAAGCACGTTAGCTGCATGAATGCCCTTTGCTAGCGCGTCTTTAATCGACTTTTTCATAGTTAATACATCTTAATACATTTGATGTGAGTTTGGCAGTTTTGTTAAAGTATGATTAGCCGTGATGCTAATGTTACTAACTGATCGTCGCTCACGGTCCTCTGCTCATATTAATTCACTTCAGTTTATTTATATAGCGCCAAGTCACAACATAAGTCATCTCAGGGCACTGAACAGAGGCATTCATATATAAAATAAGTTAACAGTATTTATCTGAAGAGCAGACTGCTTTGAGTTTAACTCCATCACAGAACTCTCATCTTGAGCAAGCATGAAGGTGACAGTGGAAAGGAAAAACTCATGAGGAAGAAACCTTTAGCAGAACTAGGCTCAGGACAAATTAGTAAAGTGTCATTATTATATTAAAACCTGGCAACTACCAGTACTCGTTGCATCCCATTCAGTCATCAGAACTCTACAGCATAAGGCTGAACACGTCCCCACAAAGACAGAAAGGAAGGAAAAAGAACAAAAACATCAAAAAAGCTTTCCAAACATGTGGATATCCAACTGGGCTTTGTTTTGTCAAGTCAGCGAGGAAAACTACTAAACAGAACAAGGAGAAGAACAGACGGATAAACATCCCTTATGTTGCTGGAGTATTTGCAAAACTCAGAAAGATTTTCTTCAAACACAACATCCCGGTACATTTCAAACACAACAGGACTCAGAGGCTGGTCCACCCTAAGGACAAAACACACAAACAGAGTGGTGTAGTGTATGCAGTTCAATGCAGTGAGCAATGTGTCCAGATCTAATTGGAGAAACCAAGCAGCCTCTTCACATACACATGGCTCATCACAGGAGAGCCAGCTCTTCAGGACAAGACTCAGTGGTTCACCTACACCTCCAGAATAAGGGACACTAGAGGACCAAAATGTTCACATTTTGGACCGAGGAGACTTTGAGAGGGGAGTGAAGGATGCCATCTATGTAAAAAGAGAGAAAACAACTTTAGACAGAGGAGGAGGTCTCAGATTTCAGCTTTCAGAAACATATACCAGTAGTAATGGAGCATTAGGCCTGATATCCCAGTCATTTTCTTTGCTTTGAGGCAACTGGCTGGGATGTTTTCTGTGATGCACATGGGCAGGACATTAACACACTCACTGACTGTGTTACGGATTATATTAACTTCTGCACGGATAATATAATCCCCACAAAAACAGTGTGCCGTTTCCTAATAATAAACCATAGGTGACCAAAAACATCAAGGCAGCCCTGAACAGGAAGAAGGCTGTTCAGAGGGGGGGGGACAGGGAGGAGATGAGGAGAGTGCAGACTGAGGTGAGGGACAAGATCAGGGAGGGTAAGGAGCAATACAGGAAGGAGCTGGAGGGCAAACTGGCTCAAAACAATAACAAGGAGGTCTGGAACGGGATGAGAAGCATCACTGGTCAGAAAAAGACCGCAGCAGTGATGGGAGGAGGCCAAGTTAAACCAGTTCTTCAACTGGTTTGATGTTGTAAACACTGCTCACCCACAACTGCTCACTTTTCACCCACTTCTCTTCCCCTACCCACACCTCCTCCAACACCTTTCAGGGGGTCACCACACCCCCTAGACAACCCCTCCCCTCCTCATAAGCAAATGGACTCCAGCTGCAACCCCCTTGCCCCACCCCCCCCCCCCCCCCCCATCAGAGCCTCCAATCACCATCAGCAGGGAGGCTGTGAGGATGGAGCTCAGTCGGCTATGTCCAAGCAAGTCTGCAGGTCCAGATGGATGAAGCCCCAAACTCCTGAGAGGATGTGCGGCTCAGCTGTGTGATGTTTTCCGACACATTTTTCACCTGAGCCTGAGGGTGGTCCCTGCTCTGTGGAAAACAACATGCCTGGTCCTGGTGCCGACAAACACAGTGACTACAGACTTGTGGCTTTGACATCACATGCCATGAAGTTGCTGGAGAGGCTGGTCCTGAAGGATGTCAGATCAGTGGTGGAACCATACCTGGACCCCCTACCAGCCACGCATCAGAGTTGATGACGCCATCATCTACCTACTGCACAGAGCCTACATGCACCTGGACAGGGCAGGCAGAACTGTAAGAGTCATGTTCTTTGACTTCTCCAGTGCTTTTAACACCATCAGACCTGCTCTACTCTGCAGTAAGCTCCTGGACATGCAGGTATACTACAGTATTTGAGGCTGCAGAACACCACCTCGGACACCATACTGAGCAGCACAGGGGCTCCTCAGGGGACGGTCCTCTCACCTTTTCTGTTCACCCTGTACACCTCAGACTTCAAGTACAACTCACAATCCTGCATCTGCAGAAGTTCTGGATGACTGCCATTGAAGGCTGCATCACTGGTGACCAGTAAGCTGAATACAGAGGTGTGGTGGACAGAACCACCTGCAACTCAACATTGGAAAAACTAAAGAGCTGCAGGTGGACTACAGGAAGAAGATCAGCCCCCCCCCCCCCCCCCCCCTCAAGCCCTATCAACATAAAGGGTACTAAGGTGGACACTGTGGACTGCTACAAGTACCTGGGGGTCCACCTAGACAATGAACTGGACTGGACAGCTAACATCAAGAAAGGACAGAGTCACTTTTTTTCTTCTGAGGAGACTCAGGTCCTTGAACGTCTGCAGGAGCATGCTGCAGATGTTTTACTACTCGCTGGTCTCCAGCGTCTTCTACTCTGTGGTGTTCTGGGGCAGCAGGGTGAAGAAAGCTGATGCCAACAGTCTCGATAAACTCATCAAGAGAGCTGGCTCAGTTCTGGGAGTGGACCTGCAGTCTCTGACAGACGTGTCTGAGCAGAAGATGCTGAGGAAACTGCTCCAGATCCTGAGCAACACATCACACCCCCTGCATGACAAACTGGACTCTTACCACAGCACCTTCAGTCGTAGACTGAGACCATCGAGGTGCTCCACAGAACAACACAGGAAGTTCTTCCTCCCTGTGACTATCAAACTTTTCAACTCCTCCACCTTTCTGCACATAGGACAATAAAATTAAACCTGCACCACAATAAACACTTCAATGTTTTCATGTTAAAACATTTCACACGTTAGACACCTCAGCTTCATAACGCGGACCCCACACACACTCGCTGTTCTTTGAATTGAAAAAGCTCCTCGGATGAGAAACAAAACGGATTCAGCTACAGAATAGAAGTCCAGTTGTTTTTGCCTTTAACCTTTTTTAAATTTAACATGTCCTGGATGACTGATAATCTTCACCATTATATCCCATTCATTTAAACTGCACTTGTTTCTTGTGTGAGCATTGAGACAGTAGCACTTGTTTATAATAGCAGTTAATCCAGAATGTGGTTGTTTCTTGAACCAGATTTTAGGCCATGAGCTGGGCGGTGGAGGAGTGGAAGGATGGACTTCCAGGGAAAGCCCTGCAGAAGATCCAGGAGATGGAGGTCCAGTTGGACAAACTCAAGAAGGAGCGATCACAGAAACAGTTTCAGCTGGAGTCCTTGGAAACTGCCCTGCAAAAACAGAAACAAAAGGTCAGCATTTTCTCTGAAGTTTCTTAAATAGGGTTTGAGAGATTTGTCCAAAACAAAAAATATAAATCTCAAAATTTTTTTTACTGCAACCTGTTTGGACAACATAAAAGAAATCCTTCTGTTTGTGTTTGTTTAGGTGGACAGTGAACGTACGGAAACCTCAGCTTTGAAAAGAGAGAATCAGTCTTTAGTAGAGTCGTGTGATGCTCTGGAGAAGACTCGTCAAAAAGTTGCTCATGATCTTGGTGTCAAAGAACAGCAGGTCGGTTTCTGACACGAAGTGGGAATACGCTTCATGCTGCAGTTTGAAATGTGTCAAGCGTAGTGGGACAAAAAAATGTTTGTAATTAACAGCCAGTGTTTTTTATAATCATCTATATGTACTTGAGACAGTTTTAAAGTCAGCATTGACTCACCATCATGCAGTTCTATAGAAGCCAAACTAGATGATTTGGTGTCTGTCAGTTTGAAGTTGCAGAAGTGACAACCAGAAACAAAGTGAAGTGGGCAACCATCAAGTTCACATTGTGTTTTTATAGTTTGGGTTTCACAACGCCTCTTATTCTGATGATAAACCAGCAAAAGCAAGTTCTGTGTTCGGCCAACGTGATTTTTACTATGCTGTACCTAAAACATCTCCTTTAAAACATAAAAACAGATCCATAAGTACCATTTATTTGGGTTACTTTTTTTTTTTTTTTACTTCCTGTGATCCTGACTAAATTATTTCCTTCATAACAGGTGAACTATCTTGAGGGTCAGCTTAATTCCTGCAGGAAGACTATTGAGCGACTGGAGCAGGAGCTTAAAAAGTGAGTCCATTTTGGGGGAAAAAACAAAAAACTTTTACATAAGTGTGTGTTTTCTAAGTAAGTGGACTTGTTAAAATGTCTTTTTTTAATTCCTGTAAATCCTGAATAGCCTTTGATGCTTTAAAACAATTTTCCTCAGGTACAAAAATGAGATGGATCGTTCTCAACCTGCCGGCTCTTCCTCTTCGTCATCCTCCTCTGAGCTGCAGCCGTTCACTCCGCAAAAGAGTTTTGCTACACCAGCTCCTGTCCCAGTCTCCAGACAGCACGGTATTTCTATTTATGTTTTGATTTGCAGTGTCTTTATGTCTGTGCTTTGTGTTCATATATAAGAAAATGTTGCACTTGTGAAAAATCACCGTTTGTCTTATTGTGACGTGTAAATGTTGTTTGTGTTGCTCAGATAACAGACTGGAGGAGCTACAAGAGAAATACAACCAGGAAGTGGAAGAAAGAAAAAGGCTGGAGACTGAGCTCAAAGTCTTGCAGGTCAAAGTGAGTAAACTGAACAACCTTTTATTTTTTTAAGTTGTTTTTCTTCATTGTACTTGCAACCATTTTTTTTTTTTTTTGTCTTTAGATGGTGAGTCAGTCGTCCGTCAGCGTGAGCCACAAAGACATTGCAGCTCGACAAGCTGGCTCGTCCATCTTCCCATGGCAACAGCAGGATCACAGCATCCGTGCTCCGAATGGGATGGAAACGCCCCTGAAGAGACAAGGGACGTCTCTGTGGGAGGCTTACGAGGAGACCCCAATTAAACCCGGCCAACGGATGAGCTCGTCCAGAACCGTTCAGAGTCCCAGTGGATCCTCCAACCAGATGGAGCAGCTAAAAACCCTTAATCAAGGTGGATCATTTTGTGAATGCTAAATTAAGTTTTATCAGTAGCATTGGCCCAGTTTTCTTCCTAATGTTCATAGGAATAAGTGAAAATGTTTTAAGGTGAGTCAGGATCGTGTTAGACGTGTACAGCAACATGGGTTGTCTGTTTTTTCCTCAGAACTTCGCACCCGTGTGTCAGAGCTGGAGAGAAATCTGTCCAACCAAGAGAAGGAAATTCATAATCAAGCTTCCAAACTGCAGGAACTCCAAACTCATCTGAACCAGGCCCGTAAAGACCTTGCTGAGCGAGACAGAGACCTGGCCAAAGCGGGTCATGAACTGAGTCAAGCTGCAGACAAACACCAGCAGCTCGAGGCCAAGGTGGGGCAGATAGTCGGCGCTTATTTTAATATTTCATCAGGTTTGCTTGATTACATGACTTAACCAAGTGACTCGTCAGAAAGTGATGCAGGCGTGTGAACGATGGAGAAAGTTGACTGGAATGTTGATCTGGATTCGTTGTTAGAGTTCATCGGTTGAGCAGAAGCTGAAACGGGTCACAGAGGAGATGAACTGTCAGAGGCACAACGCAGAGAGCTGCAAACAAGCCCTGGAGCAGAAACTCAAGGACCAGGAGAGAAACAGTCAGAAGGTGAAACCGTGTGGTCTCAGTGGTTTCATGACTGGTCGTCTATGGATTTTAAAAGATTTAAAGGCAGTGAACTGTTTTTATTAGAAGGATGACTCGTTGTTTTTTTTGTGCAGGAGCTGGCCCAGCTTCAGAGTTCCCATCAGGCTTTGGATCAGCAGCTTAACCAGACCAGAACCAAGCTTACACAAGAGATCCAACAGTCCAAAAAGGACTGCAATGTACTTCAAGCTGATATGGAGAAGGTAGATTTATAATCCCCACTTTAGTCAATAACGTAGTCAACCATATTTCCTATTTTACCACAGGAACGTGTTTGAGTCCGGAGCAAACGGACATCTGTTTTAGTATTATTATACACTGAATTAAATTGAAATATTGTAACATATTTGTTGTTGAATTTTGTGTCGCCTTTGTGTATTTTTAGATGCGCTTCCAGAAAACACAGATGGAGAAAGAGACTGAGGAGCAGAAACAGAAATTGCTGCGGTCAGAACAGAGCCTGCAGGTCAGCCAGAACAAAGAGCAAGACCTTCGCAAGAAACTGGAAGTGAGTTGAAATCTTTATTTCAAACAATGTTTTCTGATCATTTCTGTGCTGCTGATTATAAATGTGTTCAGTCAGTTAGACAGCTGACTTGTTTCTAAAATGCTTCTTTCCCTCAGGAGCTGCAGAAAGAGAAGAACAGTGTGACGGCCGAGTTGGACCGGAGCAGCCGGAGTTTGTCTCAGCTGGAAGGAGAGAAGAGGAGCTCAGAACAGGTCCTCAAACGCACCCAGGGACTGCTAGACGATTTCAAAGGTACACTGGTGTTAGACGTAGCAAAAGGGTTTTTGTTATTGTCACACTACTGATGAATGGATTTGACTTTTGTTTCTTCAGTGAAATCAGAAGCACAGGCTGAGGAGCTGAGGAAACTTCAGTCCAAACTCGAGCAACAGACTCGTGTTTCAGCACAGGAGCAGGAAAACTTAAAGAAAACTCTCTCTGACGCCGAGGCCAGAAATGACAAGTGAGCATGAGGAAAACACAAAGCAGAATGTTGTGCACATTTTATGATTGAGTACAGATTCTGCCATTTTAATTCTAATTTTGCACTTCAGATCTAAGAATGAGCTCCAGAAACAAAATCAAGAGGCTGAAAAGCTGAACCATAAGTTGGCGGTTCTTGAAAAGGAGAGCCAGGAGCTGAAATCCAGTCTCGCAGTGAGCCAGGATGGCTGTAAGGCTTTGAAGCAAGAGCATGAAGCTCTGCTGGAGTGGAAGAAAGAAAAGGAAACGTTAATAAACCAAACAGAAGCTGTGCAAAAGGAGCTCGCTGACAAAATTAACAGCTTGGAGAACAATCTTGGCGTGCTGAAAGAGTCTAATAATGAACTCCAGGTGAGTGTGAAATCATCATTTACTTGAGAAGCACATTTTGACAAAGTTATGTGATGCTCAGTCATGTCAGGATATTCACAAGTTGTACTAAAGGTATGAAAAATGCAATTAAACCGTTGAACCCTCACACTGAATGCATCCACCCACCCCAGAGTAAGGTCCTGTGTGTGGAGGGAGATAAAGCCAGTCTGTCTGCGCACGTCGAGTCCTTGAAAGGAGAATTACTCTGTAAGAGCACGGAGCTGGAGGAGAAGCAGCATCAGTACGAGAAGCTCCAGCTTCAGTTTTCTGAAGCTGGACAGAAACACAACAAAGACCTGGAGAATGCTGGGATTCAACTGGCTCAGCTCGAAGCACAGGTAGATGTTCTTGATAACACATTTAATAGATTGCAATATATTAATTTTAATTTCATTAGCACTTGTGAGTAGATCTGAAGTCTACACATTACTTTAACTGTTGCATGTGAGCAGTAAGTCTTAAGGATTTTGTCTTCATTGCTGCACATTTTAGTCTGGTTTTTGATGTGATAACACATCGAACAAATCTGTAGTGGCCAGATCTGGAATTATTTTGTCTTAAACAGGTGAAAGACTTAGAGTCAGAGCTGCAGAAGGGAACTGCTCGAGCAGAGCTTGCTGAGAGGACAAACGGTGAGCTGCGAGAAGAGCACCAAGCTGCCTGCGACCTGGTGCGCTCCAAAGATCAGCTGCTGGAGCTGGGCCTGGCTGAGATCAGTCAGCTGAAGGAGAGCCTTGCACAGTCCACTGCACAGCAGGAACAGCAGAAAATCAGGTTGGACTATTATCATTTAATTTATGTGTCCTTTTGTCCAGAAGCCATAATGTTTTTGTTTTCAAGCTGTTCTGAAAAAGTGAACTGACTGAATTTGTAGTGACAACTTCAGCCACAGTTGAAGCTTACGGAGCAGATTATCTTGTAAATTAAATATTCCAACGAGAACTCAGTTAGGCAGATACTGCAGACTTTGTTTTATCTGTGCATGCCCTCGCTGATTCTTCTGGTAAACAAGTTCAACCTGATTTATTGTACCTATTGTTTTCCTCCAGGTTCATGGAGGAGAGGGCAGGTCTGCTGAAGCAGTGTGAGGAGAGCGTTTCTGCAAAGACAGCAGAGATGGAGCACATGAGGCTGCAGATGGAGGAGGTCCAGCAGGACCTGCTGCTCTCCAAAAACCAGGTCTGTTCTGTTTACTTTGAACTACATGGGATCCTTTTTACAGCTGCTGGTTGATTGTTCAATTTCACCTATTTTTAAAAAATATATATATAATGTGTTAATCATTACATTTAATATATCCTTGTTGTTCTTTGCACATATATTTAAGGACAAAAAAAGAACAGCTTCTAAATCAAAAACAAGAGCTAAACATTTTATCCGGTTGATTTTCTGCTCGTGTTTCAGATCAGCTCCACGGAGCAGTTCCTGAAGGTTCAGGAGCAGCTGGGAGCCGAGCTTCAGAAACAAAACAAGGTGATGTCCGAGAAAGAAGAGGAGCTCCGAGAGATGTACGAGAAAACATCAGAAGAGCTCAAAGTGTTGGAAAAGGAGCTGAAGGATCAGAGGAACCAGACTGAGGAGAAGGAGAATCGGCTCCGAGAGACTGAAGCTCAAATCGTTGCGGTGGAGACACAAAAATCTGAGCTGGAAAATAAAGTTCAAGGGATGAAGAAAGAAGCAGAGGTAAAGTAGTCCAAGATGTTGTTTTGGTTCTGTAAGCTCTCATTCATGTCTGCCAGATGACAAGTGTGATGATGATAAATGTATTTTTGGTCAGATCCTGCTGGAGCAGATTTCTACCTTAAAGGAACAAGAGGCTGCAAACAAAGAAGCAGCAGAGGAGCTTCCAGTCCTGAAAAACAATCTGGATGTGGCCAACCGATCACTTGATCACCTGACCAGTTCTCTAGAAGCTGTCGAGAAGAATCTCTCTTCTGCAAATGAAACTAAGGCCAACCTGGAGAGCACTCTGGCTGAGAAGATTAAGCTGATCTCTACTTTGGAGAAAGAAATGGGCGATCTCGCTGAGAAGATGAGGAAAGAGTCAGAGAGTCACAGCGTGGAGACTGAACGTTTAGTCGACAAAGAGAGGAGCCTTAAAGAGCAGATCGAAACCTCTCAGAAATCACTGGCTGCTGCCAAAACAGAGTTGAGTTCTCGTCGGGAGGAGATCAAAACCATGAAGGCCACTCTGTCTGCTGCTTCACGTGGCTTAGAAGAACGAGATGTTACAATAAAGAGTCTGAAAGAGAAGCTAAATAAAGCCGTAGCTGAGCAGGCCACTGCTTCAGATCTGCTGAAGGAGAAGGTTACTGCCATGAACAAAATCAAGGTTGGTTTTCAAAGTCTTATAGTTTGGGTTCTGTTTTATACAATCTGACAGAAGGTGTGGTCTTGTATTACAGCAGAACATAGTAATTATTAGTCTGGAGTCATTTTTAAAGTACTTCTTCAATGATTTAAGGTGCAGCTGGAGATGCTGCAGATGGACTTGGAGGACAACGAGACCGCTATGAGCTCCGCGGACAGTCAGGTGGACGAGCTTAAGAAAAGTATAGAATCGTTAGAGGCCGAGCTCACTCAGAACCAGAGCCAGATGACTGAGATGGAGGCCAGGCTGGAGGAGAGCAAAGCTCAGGTTGGGTTACTGTTAAAAACAAAGTTTTGTTTGGACTCACTTCTTATCGACTCCTGCAGAGGACAAAATAATATTAAATATCGTATTTGAATTAATTACCATTTTCAGGTCTCTGTCTTGGAAATCCGTTTGGATGAAGTCCAATCCCAGAACTCTCTGCTGGAGTCAAAATATGTCACAGCTAAGGAGGAGCTGCTGGAGAGGAGCTGTGAAGTAACCCGTCTGGAGGAGGACTCCGTCCGACGACAGCAGATGGAGGAAAGCGTCGCCTTGTTGGAGTCGAAAATCGCTCGGCTAGAAGACGAAAACTCCAAGTTAGAGAAGACGCTCGGGCAGGTGATTCAGGAAAAAGACGGCCGCCTCGATGTGTTGCTTCAGGAGAAAAACACCCTGGAGGTTTCTGTGAAACGACTGATGGACGACGAGCAACGAGCTGCCGCTGAAACTGCACAAGTGAAGGTGGAGAAGAAAGAGCTGGAGGTCAGAGTAGACAAACTGTCTGAAGAGATGAAGCAGCTGCGGGCTCATGTCGAGCAGTTAGCTGAGGAAAAACAGGAAACGGAAGCAAAGATTGTTCAAATGTCAGAACAACACCGTGAGGCTGAATCTGCACTTAATCAGGTCATGGAAGAAAAATCCCACCTAGAGATGAACTTGAGCGTAATAAATGAAGAACAACAACAACTTCAGGATAAAGTCTCCACCTTAACCGCTGAGAAAATGGACTTAACGGCCAACTTAAAACAGGAAGCTGAGGAAAAACTTCAGCTGGAACGTAGCAACGCTCAGACCTTGGAAGAAAATGTCAAACTCCAGTTTAGTCTGAGCCAAGTGTCAGAAGAGAAGCAGCATCTGCAGACGAGCATGGAGGGATATAAAGACGAGATTACTTCCCTCAGAGAGAAGAACGAGTGCATCCAGCGCTCTCTGCTGTCTTCAGAGCAGCAACGCCGGAACCTGGAAGAACGATTTGAGACGACGGAGAAGAGGAACGACGACGAGAACAAAGAGAGGTACGTCTTGAGTTTCATGATTTTCTTCAGTTTAGTTTATTTAAAATATTCAATCTTCTCTTTAGAGCTGCAAATCTAACTGCTGTGAGTTTGTTTTTGCAGGAACCGTCAGTTTGAGGCAGAGCAGGCTGAACTTCACCAGAAGCTTGTGCTCCTGCAGACGGAGCTGGCTGAACTCAAAGAGCAGTACGATGTACTGCTCCAACAAGTGGCCCAGGAGCACAGCCTCATACAGGAGCTCTCAGAGCCGCAGGAAAGTCCCAACTCTGCAACAGAAGTTGACCACGAAGTACCTGAAGCTGTCTGTGGTGAGTACTGGCTGCTTGTACTTTTACATCACTCTGATGAATATATTTTAATAATCTGCACTGATCCCTCCAGCTGAGGCCGCGGCTCACATGGATGTTGAGGCAGAACCTGGTGCCAGCGCAGACTCGTCTCCTGTAAACGAACAGCGAGTGACGTCTGAAATGAAATCCGACGAGACCGAGGGGTACAGCTTCTTACCAAACAAAAAAATCACAGCCGAATATTTATTTATTTTTCTTATTTAAGAATAAAAAAAAAACCTCTGCCCTAACAGTGAAGCAGAGCTAAAAGCAGAGACAGAAATGATCCACAGTGAGACGGTGGAAGAGAAGAATGAGGCGTGTGAACATGATGTGGAGGAAATGAAAAGCGACATGGAGAACCAACAGGTAGAAAACACTCCAACGGTTCCTTAATCTGTCCTACAAGTTTAATTTCACACCTGGTGCTTTACTGAATTTGAAGTTAATGCTGCATCTCAAGTTGCTCTACAATTTGTATGTTTGTATGTATCGGATGGATATCACCACGTATGTGTTTATCTTTAAAAAAATATATCTGTTGAAGGTTTCTGAAGACAAAAATGAGCCTGAATTCTGCGACTGGTCCTCCCAGAGCGAGATGAAAGACTTGAAATCCACCGGTGAATAATTCAGTTTATAACTTGCTGTTCTTTACAGCTTCAGACTTCAGACTCACTTGTTTAAATGCGCATCTGTCTGTCAGAAAAAGAGTCTTCGCAGGCACAAGAAGACTTCAGCTCTCACAAGGAAATCATCTTGAAACAAGAAAAAGAGCTGGAGACCGTGCGCTCGGAGTGCGACCTGCTGAACTCTGAGCTTCGGCTGAGAAAAGAGTTGACCTCTGACCTGGAAGTCCAAATTCAAAACCTGGAGAAGAAAGTTCAGGCTTCAGAGGAGGCGGCGCTTGGTGCAGCACATCAGCTGAGCACCACAGTGGAGGAAACTAAAAGTCTTTCTGACAAGGTAGAAGAAAGAGATGGTTTCAGTGTCACTGCATTAATTAAATAATATTTTCAAAGGTCCTAATGTTTGAACGCTGTGCTCTTGTTTAGGTGACTCACTTGTTGGAGGAGAAGGAGACTTTAACTCTGCAGCTGCAAACATCGAACTGTCAGCTGACTGATGTCATGGAGATGCTGGAGGGACTTGAAATGGCCAAAGGTTTCAATTTTTGGGTTAAAAACTGCACTTTATTTTATAAATTTCTGTCATCCTGTGGCACTGATCATCTACTGTATTTAACGTGGTTCTGTAGGGGGATGGGATGAAAAGTTCCTTCAGCAGGAGAGCGAGTTAAAGAGGGTTCGCTCAGAAAAGGTGAACCTGGAGCAGCACATCCTGGGGATGGAGTCAGAGCTGGAGACCATGCAAGCGGAGAGTGCCAAACTTCACGATGAACTGGACGCACAGAAACGGATTTGTTCAGGCTCGGAGCAACAGATAGAAACTCTGCAGACAGAGGTAACCAGAGCGCTGTGTGCACAACCATCAGCATGTTTAAAGGCTAAATAAATACACATTGAAGGGAAATTATGAACTATTTTTATACATGAGCTCTGGCCTAGCATCAGTTTTTATAAGCTTTGTTAGCTTTATGAGCAGGGTCACCAACTTTTTTTTTTTTTGTCAGACAACCCAGCTGAGAGCTGAACTTGTGTCCTGCACTGAAGACAGAGACGAGCTGAGCCGGTCATTGTGCCACTGGAGAGAGAAGGTTCACAGTCTGGAGAAGACTGAGAGTGACACCAGAAGCTTAGTGTCCATACTGGAGGACGACATCAGAGCCGGAAGGAAGGAGTACGAAGCGCTGCAGAGCAGCATGGAGAAACTGATCGCAGAAAGGAATCGGGTACTAAAACAGGAAATGAGTTCGCATAATTTATTTATTATTATTATTATTTGTTCTAAGATGATTAAATCTATGATAAATTGCAACTTTAAGTTGCTGTTTATTTCTTTTGAAATAAAGCATACCCTTCTGGATCAAGAGCTTTTGTGCAAGCTGCTCCGAGAGCAACGAAAAACATTTTCCTCTTTTGTTCTTTCAGCTGAAACGGGTGTAGCTTAAATGTCAAGAAAAATATCTGTGATTTGGCAACTTCCAAAGCTTTTGACAAGTCAAAATTCACTATTTAAATTTCTACTAATGCATCTAGTGCCACTCAAAATTATAAGAAAGTTAATAGTAAATACACAACAACAATAAAATCAGCTCAAGATTTGTTCTCAGACTCTGTGTGGATCAAATGCCGAGGAATACAGATGAGTCTTCAGCAAAGATCGAAAAGTCTCAACAGTCTGAGCGGTCTTTAAATTCTCTGGGAAACTTTGCCACAATTTTGGAGCAGCAACCGCAAAAGCCCGATCACCTCTGGATTTCATTTTGGATCTGGGAACATCTAAGAGGAACTGGTTGGTAGACTGGAGTGCTCTTACTGGAGTGTAGATGTTAATGAGAACACATAAATATGACGGGGCCAGACCTTTTAAGACTTTAAAACAAGCAATAAAATCTTAAAATCAATCTGGAAGTGGAGAGAAGCTAGGACAGGGGTTATGTGTTCATATGTTGTTTAGTTGCCAGTGATGGACTGGAGACCTGTCCAGGGTGTCCCCCTCCCCTCGTACAGTGACCCTCGCAACCCTAAAAGGAGGAAGCGGGTAAAGCTGATGGATGGATGGTTATTTAGTTATATTTTATTTTTTAGTTTCGAACACAACTGAACTATGCCATAGCAAGAACATGAAATTAATATTTAGGCAGAAGTTCATGCTTCTTTTGGAAATATGATGAAATTATAAATGAAGAAACAACAACCCTAACTTCCTACCACTCCCTTGTATCTGATAGTTGTACTAGTTTCTTCAGAACATCCACGTGTCATTTATATGTGCTTTTCTCTGATACATTGTTTTAGCAGGAGCTTGTGCTTCTACTAACACTGGTTTCCTTTTTTCTTTTGTTTGAAGCTGCTGGAGCAGGTTAAAGTGCTGGAGCAGGCAATTTCTCAGCAAAGTGGAGAAAAAGAAGAGCTGCTCGGCCATCTTAATCAAATAAAAGAAGATCAGTCCTCGGCCAGTCAAAACTCTGAGTCCATGGTTGGAAAGATACAGGTTAGCAGGAAGCTTGTTTTGGCAATTTACAGCTGGGTTGTTTTGGGGAGAGCAAATGTTTGGTATATGTTGCGTTTTATCTTTTGTGCTTTTTCCATGAGAGCTTTCTTCAAAGAGTAAAACGTTTAACGTTAACTTTTTTTATTTATTTTCAAGGCTTTAAAGGGAGAAGTGTGTCGTCTTTCCCAGTCTCTGGAGGCCTCGCTGCTCGAAAAAGGAGAGATTGCTTCTCGTCTGAATTCCACTCAAGATGAAGTCCAGCAGATGAGGACCGGTATTGAGAAGCTTCAGGTCCGCATCGAGTCCGATGAGAGGAAGAAAAAGAAGATGGGAGAACTGCTCAACGGTAACTTTTAACTCCCCTGGAAACGGACGTGATCTGTTGCGTTCTGTGAGGCGCTGGTGTAAATGTGGCTTCATGTTTCTGTAGCTGCCCAGAGAAAGTTTGACTCGCTGCAGGATCGTATCGACGCCCTGCAGAGAGAGAAGGAAGACGTGGAGCTGAGTCTGGAGACAGCTGTGCTACAGGTATTCAATTAGACACTTTGTCAATTACTTTTTTTTTTAATTGGAAACTTATTTTGTTGTGCTTTTCCTTAGGCTGAAACCGCCAGAGCTGAGCTGGAAGAGGAGAGGAGAAAGGTCCCTTTATATTAACAAGTATCATCCCTCGCCTTTTATTTTTTTATCTATTATGCTTGTTCTTTAATTCTGCCTTCTCTCATATTTTAGGTGGAAGAAGAGAAGAAAGAGCTTAAAGAGAAACTGACGGAGCTCTCAGCCACACTGGACAACCTGAGATCTGAGAAAGCACATCTAGAAAGAGAGCTAGAAGCCAAAAAGAGGGAGATAGACGAGCTGAAGGCAGCTAAAGATGAGCTGGAAAGGGGATTGGTGAGAGCAGAGACGGCTAAAAGAGAAGAGGAAGAGAGGCAGAGATCCAGGGTGGAAGAGCTGCAGAGAGAACTGAGAGAGGAAGCCGAGAGACAAAGCAGGCAGCTAGATGAGCTCCACACCCGGCTGGAAGCGAGCCAGCAGAGGGAACGTTTACTTGAAGAGAAACGTGAAGAAACAGAAGGGGAAAATGAGAAGATGCAGTCCGTTTTGTTCGAGTCAGAGAAGGAGAAACAACACCTGCTGAGTTCACTACAGGAGTGGCAGATGAACGGAGAGAGCCTCCGCTCTCGAGGAGAAGAGCTAGAAAAGGAGAGAAACGGCCTAAAGGCGCGCATCGAGTCTTTGGGAGAAGAAATAAAGGATTTTAAAACACTTGTCCAAGTTAAAGAGGAAGAGATTCTCGCTTTAGAAAAGGAGAGGGAGAAGGAGGCAGATCAGAGGCAAGCTTCAGTTAAATCCATCTCGTGTCTTTTAACGGAGAAAGAACAGTTAGAAGAAACAAATGGAAAACTGATCGAGGAGAAAGAGAAGCTGCAGCTGAGCCTGCTCGTGTTGGAGGAAGAGAGGGAGAACATGAGCTGCACCCTGGAAGCTGTGAAACAAGAGAGAGGCCGATTAGATCAGGAGAGAGGTGCGTTAGAAGAAGAGAACGTTCAACTTCAGTCTGACCTGTGCTTGGTAGAGAAAGAGAAACAGGACTTGCAAGAAGCTCTCTCTTCATTAAAGCAAGTAAAGGAAAGAACGGAGCAGGAGAAGCTGAGGTTAGAGGCTGGAAAGGAAGAATTGCTCTCTTCCTTTTTAAAGGTTGAAGAAGAGAAGAACAACTTGTCTTCAGCTGTTTCTTTGTTGGAACAAGAGAAGCAGCAGATGAAAGAGGAGAAAGAGAAGCTCGCAGAAGAACAAGACATTCTTCAGAAGAACGCCTCATCTATGGAGAAGGAATTGGAAACTCACAAAGAGTCTGTGTCGCAACTCAGAGAACAGGTACATGAGATCACAGATCCAAAATGGATCTGGTCGGGTCAAAATAAAAAAACTGGCAACTCCATGAGGAATTTGTCCATATAGACTGACATCCTCTCAGGATGAACATTATTTTTAAATAACTTCTCTCCTTCCTTCCCTTCCAGGTGTCCGAGTTGACGTCTCGTGCAGCTCGTTTGTGTAAAGACAAAGACTCTGCTCTGAGCAAAATGAGTCTGTGGATGAAGACGTGCAAACAGCTGGAGCAAGAGAAGCAGATGATGTCGTGCTCAGGTGGACATGCATGCTTAACATCCAGCTTCTAGATGTTTTTGTCCACAAACACAATGATTTCAAGACCTTTGATCAAATGTTTTCATCATTTTTAGGAAATCTACAGAAGATGATTGTCTTTTAAATTGTGCTTTAACTTTGACCTTTTTGTTTGTTTCAGAGGAAAAATGCAGCAAAGATGTTCAAAGTGAAGTGACGCAGCTGAAGATTGAGGCAGAGCAGAAGAAGAAACAAGCAGAAGACCTGATGGCTGCCCTGGAGAAGAAAAAGACCGAGGCTGAAGAAAGACTACTGGAAACGCACCGAAAAGACAAAGAGGTGAAGGAGCTTCAAGACGCCCTCAACCAAACGAAAAAGGAGATGGAGGAGAAGGAGGGAGAGCTGGAGGAGGTGAAGAGGGAGCTGGATGAAGTGAACCAAGTTCTCGAGGAGAAAAGCAGAGAGGCTGATGAGAGCGTAGATAAATACTGCAGCCTGATAATTAAAGTGCACAAGCTGGAAGAGAGCAACGAAGGGCTGAAAGTACGACTGGAACAGTTGACTGCAACTCAGCGCGCTGACCAAGCCACCACCTTCCACTCCAACCTCACGGACAACCGCCGGCGTTCATCCAGGAAGTCTTCCTCCAAACAGCAGGAGGTGGAGAGGGACGACGACACGGAGAACCTGGTCCCCCTGACAGCCCAGAGGTCTCAGGGGGCGTCGCCTGGAAAACGAGGCCGCTGTGAGGTCGGCGACAAAGACGGCGTTCATGAGGCCCTGCACAATCTGACAAAGAAGCTGAAAGCCAGCACCATGACAACACCCAAACCAAGAGGTGAAGAGGAGGAGGAAGATTTCAGACCAGAGGGACTTCCTGAGCTGGTGCAGAAAGGTAGAAACATTCATCATCGTGTTAGTCGCCTCAGGAAATAAACTATTATTTCTGTTTAATATATTAAAACACATTCGTGATTTATAGGAATTCTCTACTGTCGTACAAAAATCATGGGCGATGCTGCAAAGCTACAGGTTTTTAACAGTTCTGTCCCTCAGGGTTCGCTGATATTCCCGTGGGGGAGGCGAGTCCGTTCATCGTGAGGAGAACCACAGCGAGGCGCTGCAGTCCTCGGCTGGCTGCCCGGCAGGCTCTACCTGACGGCAAGGTGAGCAGCTGTCCACATCTGCCTGTCATCCATACAGCGCTGCTCGTTTCTCTGTTCCTTAGAGACAGCCTCTCAATGCAGGCACTGTTTATTGTCAGCAGATAATCAAATCAGTCGTTTTAAACACATGTTAAATGTTGGTCTGATTAGAATCATGTGAATCGCTCGTCAAGCAGAATATAATAACTGTTTCTGGTCGGTTAAATAAGATTAGTTCAGAAGTGCCACTCCACAGGAAGGGGATCTACCTGTAGAAAAGTACACTTGCATCATCTTGGTGTGGTTTATAAATTGGTGGTTTTACTGTTTCTGATGCCTTGTTTAATACATCTAACAAGGCTGAGTCAGGTCCTCTGGATGGGTTCTTCTTTCTTGAACCGTTTCTTCTTTTATCCATAAATAACACCAGGATTTTTATTTGGATTATTGAGCATGAACTTTGGAGTTTTGAACCATTTTGGCACCATCTGATCACAAGCAAACAGTTTTTTTCCCCCCACTGTGAGAGTGTGCGGATTGTGGGACTCAGTTTGTTGGTGGCTCCTCAGATTGAAGAAGTCCTTTGGATGAAGGACGAAACGTCTCAGCAATAAAAAGAAACCGTCCAGATGACCTGACTGAACATTGTTGGATTTTTACCTGGATTGTTGAGCATGAACTTTGGAGTCTTATTATAAACAGAACCTTCTCATAGTGGATCAACCAGTTTGCTGTTGACAGCCAAAGCTAGCCGTTCACATGACAAAAGAAGCACCATCAGTATGGTAACAGATCATTAGTGCCCTGATGACCACTTGCTATTTACAGAGCGCTGAGTGATGCTGGTAATTGTTTATATAATTTGTCACTTCTCATACCTTTAAGCTGTTTATGTTCAGTTGCATTATTCCTTGTAAAACTGGTTTAAATGCAGCATCTTTTTTTTTTTTTTTTACAAACGTGAGCAGCTTTCACAGCTGGATGAACTAATCCTAGTAAAGTTCTTTATTTCTGACAGCTGCCTCAGTCAGTACGAGTGTAATACTTTAGATTTCCTAACGTCAGCTGGAGGTCCGGTCCCACCTCCTACTGTTGGGTCACTCCAGGTCAGTGAAGCGGTGAAGGGTTTAACTAAAGAAGTTTCAGATCAACGAAGGAAAGAGGAAAAAAATGTTTTTGAACCTCCGCTGCACAGCTGTGCATCAGCCTCATTACTCTGTTGAACGATTGTCAAATTTCTTACTTCCTGTTAACATCCCGTCTTTTATGTCGACCTTTGCCATCAGGTTCTGGGGCCCATCGCTCTCCAGAGTCCGTCTTTAGTTTCATCGGCAGGCGGCTCCATCGTGAGGAATCTTTCACCACAGGAGGAGGAGGAGAAACTTTTGCCTCCTTCACTGAATTTACAGAAGGAATCGAAGCAGAGGGAACAAGCTTTAAGAGGACAAACAGCACAAGAAGACAATTGTCGTGTTCAGTAGATCACATTGTTGTTGTAGAAACGCACAGAGTTATAAAAGATTAGAATCACACGACACGAGGATGGTTTTTTTTTTTTTTTTAACACAGGTTTTATCAATAACACTTTAAATGTACACTTTTGTTTTTACTCATTTGTTGTTGAAGCACGTTGTCTTGGATTTATAAACTACACGTTATTGTTTCTCTCCTCGTAGAAGCATTGAGGATTTTTTATTTTATTTTTTACTTTGGAACATGTTTATGTCACCGATATTAAACCAGTCAGAGTTTGCATCTTTCTGGCAACTTAGCTTTTAGAGATTATATTTGTTTTATTACCACTTCCTTCACTTATTTCTTTATTTTATTTTTTACTTATTTTGCAGTTTGTCTTTTTTCTTCTTTCACTGTAGATAATTTTTGATGAGTGCTGATTTGTTCTGCAACGTAACTCTAGAATGGCAGCTCACATTGTAGCTGTAGATTTTCTGCCTTTTTACTCTTTTTGTTTTCTTTTAAATTCTTGAAATTAAACTTTTTACTACCCATACATTTAGGATTTTTTTTTTTTTTTTGCTTTTACGTTTTAAATGTGTTGCCATTTAGCGTTTAGGCCAGTATAAAGTTTGTTGATGATTATTGTAAATATTAATAGCTTTTTATTTTTTACTAAATGTTTTGTTTCCTCTACTGCTTTAACTTGTCTGGTCTCTTTGTCATAATACACATATGTGTAACATATATGTCACAAAACTGATTTTATAATAAAATATAGAGTACACTGTGCCACCACAGGGCGGAGAGGCTGAGCTACACCCAGCATACATCTGGAGAGGGAAAGAGTTGGTCAGTGCTGTGGTCTTGAAATCCTGAGTTTGTCGGTTCGAGCCCAAGTTGCGTCAGGAGGAGCATCTTGTGTAAAACTGAGTTCGCTTGCTGTGGTGACTCCTAAAGAAGGGAAAAGTTTTGTCTATGAATTACATTACACATCTAAAACTATTTTATAAGATTCATGAGGCTGGGAATAAAATGTGGAAAACTTGGAAACTACTGAGAATACAAATTATTTTAACTCGGGTAACTGAAAAGGCAGCCTGGTTATTTAAAAATGTGCAACTTGAAACCAGGTTTAAAATAATTCATAGCTAAAATGGAATATAATACCACAAAACATTTATGTAAGGCTGCTGATATACAAACCGGATTCCAAAAAAGTTGGGACACTAAACAAATTGTGAATAAAAACTGAATGTAATGATGTGGAGATGGCAAATGTCACTATTTTATTCGTAATATAACAGATGACAGATCAAAAGTTTAATCTGAGTAAATGTAACATTTTAAAGGAAAAATATGTTGATTCAAAATTTCAGTGTCAACAAATCCCAAAAAAGTTGGGACAAGTAGCAATAAGTGGCTGGAAAAAGGAAATTGAGCATATAACAAACAGCTGGAAGACCAATTAACATTAATTAGGTCAATTGACAACATGATTGGGTATAAAAAGAGCTTCTCAGAGTGTCAGTGTCTCTCAGAAGTCAATATGGTAAGAGGATCACCAATTCCACCATTGTTGCACAGAAAGATAGTGCAGCAATACCAGAATGGTGTTACCCAGTGTAAAATAGCAAAGACTTTTTTAAGTTATCATCATCAACCGTGCATAACATCATCAAAAGATTCAGAGAATCTGGAACAATCGCTGTGCGTAAGGGTCAAGGCCGTAAAACTACTGGATGTTCATGATCTCTGGGCCCTTAAACGTCACTGCACCTCAAACAGGAATGCCACTGTCAAGGAAATAACAGAATGGGCTCAGGAATACTTCCAGAAAGCATTGTCAGTGAACACAATCCACCGTTGCCAGCTGAAACTCTACAGTGCAAAGAGGAAGCCATTTCTAAGCAAGCTCCACAAGCTCAGACGTTTGCACTGGGCAGGGGTCATTTAAAATGGAGTGTGGCAAAATGGAAGACTGTTCTGTGGTCAGATGAGTCACGATTTGAAGTTCTTTATGGAACACTGGGACGCCATGTCATCCGGACCAGAGAGGACAAGGATAGCCCAAGTTGTTATCAACGCTCCGTTCAGAAGCCTGCATCACTGATGGTATGGGGTTGCATGAGCGCTTGTGGCATGGGCAGCTTGCATGTCTGGAAAGGCACCATTAATGCAGAGAACTATGTTCAGGTTCTAGAACAACATATGCTCCCATCTAGACGTCATCTCTTTCAGGGAAGACCCTGCATTTTTCAACACGATAATGCCAGACCACATTCTGCAGCAACCACAACATCATGGCTACATAGGAGAAGGATCCGGGTACTGAAATGGCCAGCCTGCAGTCCAGATCTTTCACCTATAGAGAACATTTGGTGCATCATAAAGAGGAAGGTGCGACAAAGAAGGCCCAAGACGATTGAACAGTTAGAGGCCTGTATTGGACATGAATGGGAGAGCATTCCTATTTCTAAACTTGAGAAACTGGTCTCCTCTGTCTCCAGACGTCTGTTGAGTGTTGTAAGAAGAAGGGGGATGCCACACAGTGGTAAAAATGGACTTGTCCCAACTTTTTTGGGATTTGTTGACGCCATGAAATTTGGAAACAACAGATTTTTCCCTTAAAATGATACATTCTCTCAGTTTAAACTTTTCATCTGTGATTTGTGTTCTATTCTGAATAAAATATTAAATGTTGGTATCTCCACATCATTGCATTCAGTTTTTATTCACAATTTGTTTAGTGTCCCAACTTTTTGGGAATCCAGTTTGTATA